GACGGTCCCCTGCCAAATCATGTTAATGGGCTCCAATTGCTAGAAGCAGTTTGGTTGTCTAATAACCTTATAAGTGGTGGAGTACCATCTTGGCTGTTTACTTTGCCATCTTTGCAAGAATTAGATCTTACCTATAACAAGCTCACTGGTCCAATTGAACAAATTCAGAAGCCCAATTCTGTCTGGAAGGTTGATTTGAGTTTTAATGACATTCATGGTCCAATACCCAGTTCCTTTTTTGGTCTTGTGGACCTTGAAACTCTTCGTCTTTCATCAAACAACTTGAGTGGCGTCATCAAGTCAAATCTGCTTGCAAAACTCAAAAAACTTGGAGTTCTTGATCTTTCAAATAATAGTTTACTATCATTAAGCACAAGCGGCAATGATGTTAACTATTCATTCCCTTATCTTGTTACTGTGTCATTCTCTTCTTGTAGCATAAGACAGTTTCCAAGTTTCTTTCGAACATCAAAAATGAGTTATTTTGATCTTTTCAATAACAAGATTCCTGGTGGAATTTCCAAATGGGAAGCAGAAGGGTGGGAAGAATTGGTCTACTTGAACCTTTCTTACAACTTTCTTACCACTTTTGAGCAATTTCCAGGGAAGAATCTTCTAATTCTTGACCTTCAGTCCAACTTGCTTCAAGGGCCAATTCTGTCAACTTGCTTGAATCTTCAAAATCCAAATCCACCGCAAGATATGAGAGTATTCTTAATTTCAAAGAATAACTTGACTGGAAATATCCCTCCTTTGATTTGTAATTGGAGTTGGCTTGAACATCTTGACTTGTCACGAAATAGGTTGAGTGGAATTATTCCAAATTGTCTTGGAAATTTCAGCCAAGCTCTCGAGTTAATGAATTTGGAGATGAATAACTTTTATGGCAAAATTCCTAATTCTTTTGCACATGATCTGTTGAGAAATCTTCTCCTCAATGACAATCAATTGGAAGGATTACTGCCGCGAACTTTGGCTAATTGCAGTTCCTTGGAACTTTTGAATTTAAGGAACAACAAGTTAACGGATACCTTTCCCCATTGGTTAGCTTCACTTCCATGGCTGCGAGTTCTTATTTTGCGATCTAATAGATTGCATGGTCCCATGCCCAACTCCATAGCTTCATCTAACTTCTCCTTATTGCAAATAATTGATCTCTCTCATAATGAGCTCACCGGTCCCTTGCCAACAAAATTCTTCCAAAATTTGAGAGCAATGAAAGATCATGTATCTGAAGATAAGAGACATTCCACAGAACTTCCCAGAAGTAGAGATGGAAAACTACACGGTCATGACTATTATTACCCAGTAAATGTAACCACGAAAAGATTCGAGATTGAATTGGTGAAAACCTTAATAATTTTCACATTTATGGACTTTTCCAACAATCTATTCTGTGGAGAAATTCCTGAGGAACTTGGAGAACTTATTTTGCTTCAAGGACTCAACTTTTCTAACAACAACTTGACTGGTCCTATACCACCATCTTTCGGCAATATGGTATGGCTTGAATCATTAGATCTCTCGTCAAATAAGCTTAGTGGCAGAATTCCTTCCCAATTGACAAATCTGACATTCCTTGAAGTGTTAAATCTTTCACAAAATGATCTTGTTGGACCAATTCCCCATGGGAAGCAATTTGATACTTTTGAGAACGATTCCTATAGTGGTAACTTGGGATTGTGTGGCCTTCCATTGTCAAAACAATGCGAGCCAAAACCACCGATGCCAATGCTTAAGGAAGATGAAGGTTCTGAAACAGCTTTTATTTGGAAAGTTGCAATGATGGGCTACGGATGTGGAGTGGTGCTAGGATTGAGCATGGGATACATTGTATTCACAACAGGAAGACCATGGTGGTTTGTCAGAATAATTGAGAGAGATTGGCAAAACAATGTTACAAAGTGGATTCGCAGCATCTAGCAGTACATCCAGATTATGCATAGGTGAGTTTTTTGCCGAAGTAGAATTACAACAAAGTTCTCATTGCTTTTGTAATCTACAATTGATTTTTCCTTTGTTTTTTTCTATTTGTCAGGGTGGCTTTCCATCAGAATCCAATGGACCCTGCTTCTCTAGCATCTGGCTTTTCCATGGCAGTGGTTTGAACAATTCAGGGTGTTCTTAGTGGACAATTTTCTTTTCATGTTTAGCAGCATTTATTATAAAGAAAATTACTTCATACAGAAGTAGAATTATGCATTCCGATATCTAAATAAGTTACATTTTTATTTTTAATTCTTTAAAAAATTATTGCTTTTTGTGTGTTTGTTTCCATAAACAAGTAGTTGAAGCAACAATAAAAATAGTAGCTTGATGAATTTCAATTTATAAAATGCTGGATTTATTTATGTCTTTAGTTTTTTAATTTTACCTTCAATTTAATATTTTAACTTCAATAGATGATACAGTTGTAAAAAATGCAAAGTGCAATGAACAAAATTGGTATGTTTTGTATATTTTTACGCAAAGTTATAGGTTGTATGTGTTTTTTTAATTGATGAGTCGAATGGAGTCTTCTTATGTTAACATGAGGTGGATCCAGAAATTTTTTTGAGTAGTATCATAATTAAAATAATAAATAATAATTAAAAAAAATTTTTCCTCAATTCAAAATCTACCGGAAGAGTACTTAGATCAAATTCGATATGATTTTACTTAGAAGATTGTTGAGTACCATCATTAGTAGAATTGTGTTATTATTGGCCAAGATTTAAGTTTTGCGAGACAAATTCTTCTATTTCAAAATATCTTTTCAAGAAATATTTATCTAAAAACTTGTTAAAAATTTACTACTCATTTCTCATTAGCATAAACTAAATTATTAGAATTAAATAAAATATAATCTTGTATAGCGAATTATCAAGTTCAACAACTAACAATTCAATAAATTTCTATTCATTGATCAAAACTAAGTATAAGCATCCATAAACCACGTAAAGTTAAACTCAAAAATAAAATTATCAAACAATATATCTACAAAATAAAATAAAAAAAAAGAAAGACTCATAATTTCAAGATCATGACATAATTAAAAACACTATAAAATGATTCATATGATTCAATTTTTAACACGTAACATGATTAATATACCATTAAATTAAAAACCTACAATTAAAATGTAATTTTATTATCCAAATTTAAAATCAATAATCATAAAAAATTATAATAAGATAATAATATTATCAAATATAATAAAATTCTACATAAATAACATCCATAAAATCCATTATCTTATAAAAATGGTTTCATACAACTAAAATTAAACAGGTTGATAAACATGTCTACTTTTAAAGGTTAGACACAATAATATAATTAACATAATTAATTAAACTAGTTTAAACGTGATGATACGATTAAGACATGAAACATGATAGAACTAAACTCGTATTCGGTTAACTTCATGTTTTTTTAGTGTCATGTCCAAAAACTGTCAGGTCTAGGATAAATTGCCAAAAATATTTTAGATCACACCTTTTAAAAAAAATTTCCATAAGGACCATCTTCAAAAGTTTTTAAAAAATTTTTCCATCTTCATAATTTTTTACCATGACACTATAAAAATTAACTCTTTTTATTTATTCATTTCTCATCATGTTGTTATATTGATTAGTTTGTTAAGTGAAAATTAAAAGAAGGGGGAAATTTTCATATGTGAAAATTTTATTTCCTATTTTATATAAAATTTTTTCTTTAATTGATCTTAATTATTTGGTATTATATTAAATACTATATAATAATGAATTAACTTTGTTGAGTGAAGATCAACGCCCAATTTATTAGAAAAACAAGTATATGAAAGGGATTGAATTTGAATGTGTGTTTTGTGTCTAATAAGATCCCGATCATGAAATTTGGGTCTGATAAGATCAAATGAGAATTCAAGAAAAATATGCAAAAATTCAGCGGCCTTCAATTCATGCTTTTTTCGTTCTAACACAGCACCAACATTTTTCCTTTTATACCATTAATCGAGTTTTGATTCCACGTACTAGCACTTGTGCTGTTGAAATTTCTCACCACAATGAATAAATCTTTTCAAGTTGAGAAGACTTGACCTTAAATGCATTAATGGAAAACAACTTGAAAGATTAATTAACTTAAACATTCAAAAATTATATAATTATATCATAAATAAGAAATGGGATTAAAGTGGGCTAAGGGTCCATGTATAATTAATTAACTTTGTTGAGTAAAGACTACGCCCAATCTTTAGAAAAACAAGTATATGAAAGGGATTGAATATGAATGTGTGCCCTCAAATAGGAACCAGTCAACACTGTTTTCTTTCAATAAACACGGCAGTAGACCATATCCCTAGCATTTCATGAATAGAATGAAACTTGAAGATCGAAAATCAATAACACTGGTTGTAATGAGTAGCGAAGCTTCTAACACGGCACCAACACTTTTTCTTTTTTATTCCATTAATTGAGTTTTGATTCCACGCACTAACACTTGTGCCGTTGAAATTTCTCAACACAATCAATAAATTTTTTCTAGTTGAGAAGACGTGACTTCAAATTGCATTAATGGAAGACAGCATAAAATATCTTAGAAAGACTTGTTGATTGACTTGGGAAAGGGGTGTCTTCACTTGTTGATTGACTTCTCTTTTTATATCCCTCGGCCTCAGCCACAGCTCATTTTGAACTTCACCTCCCTAACTTTGCCCCTTTTCGACAGCCCTTCGTTTCATGCTTTCCTTTTTTCTCGAGAAAATATGGGAAAGGTAATTAGGATGTTGTGCCAAATCCTTTGCCTGCTTTTAGCGCTCTTGCATTTCCAGATCCATTGTTCATTGAGTTCCCCTTCCTCTTTTCTTCCTTCACCTCATTTATGCCTCCCAGAACAGAGAGCTGCCTTGCTCGAATTCAAAAACACCATTTCTTTGGGTGATTGTCGGACATTTTCTTCTTACCCCAAGATAAATTCTTGGAACGAAAGCACGGATTGTTGTTCATGGGATGGAGTCAGTTGCCACAAGGTCACGGGTCATGTCATCGGCATCGACCTCAGTGAAAGCTGCCTTAACGGCACCCTTCCTGCAAACAGCAACCTCTTCCACCTTCAAGGACTCCAACGGCTCAACCTTGCTTGGAACGATTTCAATGGCTCCATCTCATCGAAGTTATTTAATCAGTTTGTCAGTTTGACCCATCTTAATCTCTCTTATAATTCATTCTCTGACTTAATCCCATATGAAATCAGTCTCCTGTCAAAATTGGTTTCACTTGATCTTTCTTGGAGTGGTGGTTATCACAACTTGAGATTTGATAGTCAAGGTTTTGAAATGCTTGCACAAAACTTAATTGAATTAAGAAATCTTATCCTTGACTGTGTAGATATGTCTGATGTTGCAGTTCCTTCGTTTCTGAACTTGACTTCATCTCTGGAATGTTTGAGTGTCAAAGAGTGTCAACTGCATGGAGAATTCGCAAGTGAACTTTTTCGCCTTCCATACCTCCAGCACATAGATTTAGGTAACAATTATAATCTCACAGGTTACCTCCCTAAGTCAAACTTGAGTAATGCCCTTCAGTTGTTGGACCTTTCCTCCTGCCGTTTTAGAGGATCAATTCCTGCATCATTTGGAAATCTCACTCAACTCATATTCCTAGATTTTTCTCAAAATGATTTTGGAGGACAGATTCCAGATGTTTTTGGGAACCTTAATAAATTGACGTTTTTGTCATTTTCTTCTTGTAATTTCAGTGGTCAACTTCCAACAACCATGTTCAACCTCACACAACTTATCCATCTAGATTTGTCATTTAATCTATTAGAAGGTCCCCTGCCAAATCCTGCTAGTGAGCTTCAGTTGCTAGAAGTATTTTGGTTACCTAGTAACCATGTAAGTGGTGGAGTACCATCTTGGTTGTTTACTTTACCATCTTTGCAAACTTTAGATCTTAGCTATAACAAACTTACCGGTCAAATTGACCAAATTCGGAAGCCTAATTCGGTCCAATATATAGATTTGAGTTCTAATGACATTCATGGACCAATACCTCGTTCTTTTTTTGATCTTGTGAACCTTGAACGTCTTCGTCTTTCATCAAACAACTTGAGTGGTGTTGTCAAGTCAAATATGCTTGCAAAACTCAAAAATCTTTTCTCTCTGGATCTTTCAAATAATAGTTTACTATCATTAAGCGCAAGCGAAAATGATGTTAACTACTCCTTCTCTAAGCTTGCTACTCTGTCATTCTCTTCTTGTAGCATAAGACAATTCCCAAGTTTCTTCCGAACATCAAATTTGGTGGATTTAGATCTTTCTAATAACAAGATTCGTGGTGGAATTTCCAAATGGGAAGCAGAAGGGTGGGAAAAATTGGAAATGTTGAACCTCTCTTACAACTTTGTGACCACTTTAGAGCAATTTCCAGGAAAGAATCTTGACGTTCTTGACCTTCGATCCAACTTGCTTCAAGGTCCAATTCTATCAGCTTGCTTGAATAATCAAAGTCCAAATCCACCACAATCTTTGATTGCATTCTACGTTTCAAAGAATCAATTAACCGGAAATATCCCTCTTTTGATTTGCAATTGGAGTTCACTTTTGATTCTTGACTTGTCTAGAAATAACTTGAGCGGAACTATTCCAGAATGTTTTGGAAATCTCAGCTCTTCTCTCATGGTAATGAATTTGGAGATGAATAATTTTCACGGTAAAATGCCTGATTCTTTTAGAGCTAATAACTTGGAAGATCTTCTCCTCAATGACAATAAATTGGAAGGATTATTGTCGCGGTCTCTGGCTAATTGTAGTTCCTTGAAGCTTTTGAATTTAAGGAACAACAAGTTCACTGATACCTTTCCCCATTGGTTATCTTCGCTTCCAAATCTGCAAGTTCTTCTTTTACGAAATAATAGATTGCATGGTCCCATGCCCAATTCCTTAGCTTCATCTAACTTCTCTGCATTGCAAATAATTGATCTGTCTCATAATGAGCTCACCGGTCCCTTGCCAACAAAATTCTTCCAAAATTTGAGAGCAATGAAAGATATACCTGAAGAGAGACCTTCGCAATTCATGAGATCCAATAGTAGAGGTATACCTTTTTCTTTTCATGGCTATTACTCGGTGAATGTAACAACGAAAAGATTGGAGATTGAGTTGGTGAAAACCTTTGCCATTTACACATTTATGGACTTTTCGAATAATCTATTCTATGGACAAATTCCTGAAGAACTCGGAGAACTTATTTCGCTTCAAGGACTCAATTTGTCTAACAACAACTTGACTGGTCCTATCTCACCATCTGTTGGAAATATGATAGCACTTGAATCGTTAGATCTCTCATCAAACAAGCTTGGTGGCAGAATTCCTTCTCAATTGACGAATCTGACATTCCTTGAAGTATTAAATCTTTCACAAAATGATCTTGTTGGACCAATTCCAAATGGGAAGCAGTTTGATACTTTTGAGAACGATTCTTATAGCGGTAACTTGGGATTGTGTGGCTTCCCATTGTCAAAGAAATGCGGCAATGAGGAGGAGCTGAAACCACCTGTGCCAATGCTTGAGGAAGATGAAGGTTCTGAGTTGGCCTTTTTCTGGAAAGTTGTACTGATGGGCTATGGATGTGGAGTGGTGTTAGGATTGAGTATAGGATACATTGTATTCACAACAGGAAGACCATGGCGGTTTATCAGAATGGTTGAGAGAGAGTGGCAAAACAATGTTACAAAGTGGATTCGCAAAAACAGAGGAAGAAGAAACTAGCACTACATCCAGATCATGCATAGGTGAGTCTTTTTGTCAAAGTAGAATTCCAACGAAGTTCTCATGGCTTTTGTAATCTGCGATTGATTTTCCTTTATTTTTTTGTTTATATTTTTCAGGGTAGCTTTTGAACCGAACCCAATGGACCCTGCTTTTCTAGCATCTGGCTCTATCATTTCCCATGGCAGTGGTTTGAAGAATTCGGGTGTTCATTGAGTATCTGAATGAGTAATATGATTGTTGGTGTTTTTGGTGGAAAATTTGCTTTTCTTGTTCAGCTTTGATCATTTTTAAATTTGTGAGCACCAGCTTTTCTATGTAGCTTCTGGGGCTTGGAAAACACATGTTTTGAAGTAGGGTTTTTTTCTCCTCTTTTTTTTTTTTTTTTTCTGAATTTAGAATTTGTATTGAAGATGTTGCAACTTGCAAGACTTTAATTTAAATCCTAAACATTACACTTGAGTATTTGATTAATATATATCGTGTATGTACTCGCAATCTTAATGGCTTCTCAATTTATTTTATTTTTCAAATAATCCATCAAAATCCAAATATGAATTAAATTCAAAATCATGTCCTATGTCATACGCTAACTATTATCACCCACTAGGGGGATTGTTTGCTATCTTGTTATATTCTGTTATTGGGTCATATACTAACTATTATAACCCATTAACAAGATCGCAGAATTAGTTCTAGTGTTGATTATCCTACTTCTCAAGAGTTAATGCAGCACTTAAAACTTTACAACATAACAAATGTTTCATATCTCATTATGAATCAATATTCGGTCATATGAATAAATCAAAATAAAAAAGCAATCATATGCTGAACTCTTTTTTTTTATGCAAAAAATAATGAAACAAAAACATTTAATTCACTTAATGAAACATACATACATATATAAGATAGTTTGAAAATAAGTAAAGTGTGCACTTTTTTTATTTTTTTTTAAAAAAAGAAACAAGTGAAGGGTGTGAGATTCTACTTACCTCCTGTTGTTTCAACAACAACTTTCTTTCTCTCAAAAAGAATAATAATAAAAAAAAAACTAATCACAGTTATTTCAACATAACGGTTGAGGTATAATTCAAACCACATTGAGTCTGACTTCTCAATTTATTTTATTTTATTTTTTAAATAATTCATCAAAATCCTAATATGAATTAAACTCAAAATCATGTTCTACATCAACATTCATTATCAAAAAATAAATAAATTGCCATTTTTTTATTAAGAAAATGTTGTATTTATATATTTTACAGTTTATGAATGAAAGAATATGCACGGTACCTTCAATTCATGCTTCCCATTCTAACACGGTACCAACACTTTTTCTTTCTGTACCATTAATTTAGCTTTGATTCCAGGTTCAAACACTATTGCTGTTCAAATTTCTCAGCACAATGAATAAATATGTAAGTTGAGAAGACTTGACTTTAAATGTCTTGATGGGAAACAACCAAAAAGATTTGGGAAGAACTTGTTGGTTGACTTTGAAAAAAAGATGTCTCCACTTGTCCTGTAGTTCTATTTATATGTCCCTCACCTCAGCCTCAGCCACTACTCATTTTCAACTTCACCTCCCCAGATTGGCTCTCAAATAAGAACCACAACAGTCAACATGCTTCATGTGACGTGAATTTCTTACTTTTGAGCTTAATTTCTCTCTGATGGTGACTTTAATTGTAAAAGTCATTCCAATTTCTTAAACTTGCTTGGCTGATGACTTGACTTTGTTGCAATCTACAACAAAAACTTTTTATATTTATTTTTTAATTTTGAGGCTGCGTTCTCTTCTAGGAAAATTGAACAGAAAGTTTTGGATTTATTTTCTGAACAAAATGAAACTTGAAGTTCTAAAATCAGGCTGACAAAAACAATAACGCTGTCTGTAATGAGTTGCAATTGTAAGCCTATCCCAATAATGAAATTTGGGTCTAATTAGCATATCCCAATAAGTCTAAAACAAACATATCGAATGAGACTGCAAGAAAAGTATGCAAATCCTGCTAAAGTCTCTAATAGGATAAGATTATGCATTTTATTCTAACACTTTCATGTCCCTACTTCTCCAATACGTAGTTCACTTCTCATGTCCCTCAGCCTCAACAACAACTCATTCTTAAGTTCTCCTCCCTCACTAGCCCCTTTTCGATAACCCTTGTTTCATACTTTCTTTTTCTCGAGAAAATATGGGAAGGGTATTTAGGTTGTTATTCCAAATCCTTCTCTTGCATTTTCAGGTCTATTGTTCGTTGACTGCCCCTTCCTCTTTTCTTGATTCAGCTGATTTATGCCTCCCAGAACAGAGAGCTGCCTTACTCGAATTCAAAAACACCATTCCTCTGGATGATTATTGTGATAATTACCCGAGGACAAATTCTTGGAATGAAAGCTCGGATTGCTGCTCATGGGATGGAGTCAGTTGCCACTTGGTGACTGGTCATGTCATTGGCATCGACCTCAGTGCCAGCTGCCTTTATGGCACTCTCCATGATAACAGCAGTCTCTTCCACCTTCAAGGACTCCAACGACTCGACCTCAATTTCAACAACCTTGATGGCTCTCTTCTTGAAAACAGCAGCCTCTTTCACCTTCAAGGACTCCAACGACTCAACCTTGCTCACAACAATTTCAATGGCTCTATCTCATCGAAGTTATTTTATCAGTTAGTGAGTTTGACTCATCTTAATCTCTCCTCTAATTCATTCTCTGGCTTAATCCCCTATGAAATTAGTCTCCTATCAAGATTGGTTTCACTCGATCTTTCCACGAATGCTTATTCTTCCAGCTTGAGATTTGATAGCCAAGGTTTCAACATGCTTGCACAAAACTTAACCAATT